GTGTCCAGGCCAAAGCCCGACTAATCCCCGGAAAATTTGGAGGCTAAACATGGCCCCACTTAAATGTCGCCAACACTCCCCTCCCAGGGCTCGAATTCGGGTTCATGACTATGTCATGCCCAAGCCTTTACCACTAGGCTGGAAGGTCTTTGACAAGTCACTTTACTTTACGGGATGAATATGACAAAGACTAAAAATCTTACCCGGTAAGAACGAAGGCAAGAATCTCAAGTCTTACCCAATAAGTGAAGACGATGGCTCTTACCATGGTTAACGCTTACCGGGAAAAAATCGTTGCATACGATGTGTTTTAGTGAATAAAATCTTGCATGTTAAGTAAGCGATGATGTTGAATCTTACCAGTAAATGTTTACCGGGTAAGTGTTTAGGTAAACGACCCCCAATACAATCACATTTTAACCATCCATTATTTTCATCAACGTTTACCATGTGATCAGTTGAAAACTATCCTTAACCAAAAAAAAGAGTATTGGTCGTAAGAATAATAAAGATTGTATTTGATCCGTTAGATAGTTACATAAGTAAAGTACATTATGAACTTATGAATATATTTTTGATTATTTGAAAAAAAGTTATAATAACATTCCTATTTCTTAGTCAATTATAGAAAACAATAAAGTAAATATGGTCATAAAATGCAAACCAAAGGCCTTCATTGTCATTTTCTGAATTTATTGGGACGAAACTGTAAATATTTTACCGACTACGCTGCACTCATCCAATAAGTATTATGGTGTGTATACATATATATACATGGTGTTGCTTTCAATCGACTTCAACTCTGCCTCTCTTTAAATATTATTTTTTTTTCTCTTAAAATATATCTCAAATTAATACTATTAATTTTAATTTAATCATATATTGTAACGGCATAAAAAAAGATTATTTTTATTTATATAATAAATATTGAGTATTGAACTGTGATTTAATTACATATTATGAGAAGGTAAGTTATCGTGAGAAACGTAAGAAAAAACTATACATTTAGATTAATCGTAATTGATTGCCAATATTAATGAGGTGTATTGAGATGTAATAGACCAATTTTATTTTAAAACACAGTTCATGGATGGACATGATTACATGAGATTAAAAATGATCAATTATTCAAATCTATTATTACATTTCTTACTATAACTTCTTTTCTCATATAATATTTTGCTATAAATATGATAATACAAATTACTGAA